CCAAGTAGTTGAGGGGTACTAGAACAACAGTTGAGATCATTTGGAGCATTGAGCTAGGTGGGGAACTCGAGATATTTCGCCTCAAAGTTTCAAAATTTTCTAAAACCTACCAAAAATGCCATTTTATGACCTTTTTGAAGCCCTGGCTTCGGCTCTATGGCGAATCCGCAACTTTTCTTGACGCTTACTAGTTGAGGGGTACTAGAACAACACTTGAGATCATTTTGAGCATTGAACTAGATGGGGAACTCGAGATATTTTGCCTCGAAGTTTAAAAAGTTTCAAAAAACTTACCAAAAATGCCATTTTCTGACCTTTTTGAAGCCCTGACTTCGGCTCAATGGTGAATCCGCAACTTTTCTCGACGCCAAGTAGTTGAGGGGTACTAGAAGAACACTTGAGATCAGTTTGAGCATTGATTTAGGTGGGGAACTCAGGATATTTCGCCTCAAAGTTTAAAAATGTTTTAAAAACCTACCAAAAATGCCATTTTTTGACCTTTTGGAAGCCCTGGCTTCGGCCCTATGGCGAATCCGCAACTTTTTTCGACGCCAACTAGTTTAAGGATACTAGAACAACACTTGAGATCATTTGGAGCAATGTGCTAGGTGGGGAACTCGAGAGATTTCGCCTCAAAGTAAACCAGTGTCTAAAAAAATCTACCAAAAATGCCAGTGTCTGACCTTTTTGTAGGCTTGCCTACTGCTCTAGGCGAAATATCTCGAGTTCCCCACCCAGCTCAATGCTCCAAATGATCTAGAGTCTTGTCGTAGTAGCCCTTAACTAGTGAGCGTCGAGAAAAGTTGCGGATTCACCTTAGTGCCGAAGCCAGGGCTAGAAAAAGGTCAGAAAATAGCAGGATTTTAGAAAAAAATTTAACTTTGAGGCGTAATATCTCGAGTTCCCCACCTAGCTCAATGCTCTGAATGTTATCAAGTGTTGTCCTAGTACCCCTTTACTATTTGGCGTAGAGAAAAGTTGCGGATTCGCCACAGCAGAAGACAAGCCTTCAAACAGGTCAGAAAAAGGCATTTTTGGTAGATTTTTTAGGAAATTTGTTAACTTTGAGGTGAAATATCTCAAGTTCCCCACCTAGATCAATGCTCCAAATGATCTTAAGTGTTGTTCTAGTACCCCTCAACTAGCTGGCGTCGAGAAAAGTAGCGGATTCACCATTGAGCCCAAGCCAGGGCTTCAAAAATGTTCAAAAACGGCATTTTTGGTAGATTTTTCTGATATTTGTAAACTTTTAGGCGAAATATCTCGAGTTCCCCACCTAGTTCAATCCTACAAACGTTCTCAAGTCTTGTCCTAGTACCCCTTAACAAGTTGGCGTCGAGAAAAGTTGCGGATTCGCTAAACAGCAGAAGCCATGGGTGTCAAGAACTGAAAATACGGCGTTTTTACCCCTTTTTTCTCAAAAATGGCGTTTCTGTGACGCTTGGATGGTCCTGTGGCACTTTTCCTACCAGAATGCGTCTTTCTGCATTAAGTAAAGTCAGTAAGAACAATAAAATATTTTTTTCCCACTTTTCGATCTTTCATTACACTGTGCCACGTGCGTGACGGTGCGTGTTCGCTCTGTCTCTCTCGCACCCCTCGTGGCCGCCCTGCGAGCCCTGCGAGTGCGAGCGAGAGGGAAGCGCTCTTCTGTTCGGAATCAGCCTCGTTTTCCAGCCTCGCAGGGAGGAACAGATAACCTAACCCAATTCAAAGCCGCGTCCCGCGTCCCATTCCACGGCGGCACGGCGGCAATCGCCCTGCAGACTGATTCCGAGAGTCGCTTTCGTCGCTCTGCCTCTGCAGTCAAGGGGCGTTCCGTGTGGGGGCGAGAGAGACAGAGCGACGAAAACGACTCTCGGAATCAGTCTGCAGCCGCCCTGCCGGCGCGCTGATAAGATTAAGGCGCCGCCAAGCCGCGCCTCGATTTCTCATAGTCCTGCGGACTGCCGCCGCGCGTGCCTGCGCGTGTGTGTGTATGTGTGTGAGTTTGTGTGTGTGTGAGTGAGTGTGTGTGTGAGTGAGTGTGTGTGTGTGTGAGTGAGTGAGTGAGTGAGTGAGTGAGTGAGTGAGTGAGTGAGTGAGTGAGTGAGTGAGTGAGTGAGTGATGAGTGTGAGTGAGTGAGTGAGTGATGAGTGTGAGTGAGTGAGTGAGTGAGTGAGTGAGTGAGTGAGTGAGTGAGTGAGTGAGTGAGTGAGTGAGTGAGTGAGTGAGTGAGTGAGTGATGAGTGTGAGTGAGTGAGTGAGTGATGAGTGTGAGTGAGTGAGTGAGTGAGTGAGTGAGTGAGTGAGTGAGTGAGTGAGTGAGTGAGTGAGTGAGTGTGAGTGAGTGAGTGAGTGAGTGAGTGAGTGGAGGGAGAGAGAGAGAGAGAGAGAGAGAGAGAGAGAGAAGAGAGAGAGAGACAATGGGCGAAGTGGACATCGACTGTTCCCCCTCCCCTCAGAGGAACTGCGTATGGGAAATGTGGGCCCGTCTCGCTGCCATGCCGATCCGATCGGTTGGTCCTCTTCATCGACACCGTGAAACACGTCAAACGCCTCGGCGCCGACGAGACCGGCAGAGCCACGCGCCGGCCGACTCGTGTGTTTATGCTTGAATAATCATCGGATACAGTGTAATCGACTCAAGGCGGTTCGGTTCCATCATTCTCCCTCCACCTGCCTCTCCCCGGCCCGGCAGGTGTCTTGGCAGGCAGCGATCGGCACCAGCCGAGTGATTCGAAACAACGGTCCGTCGCTCTGTCTCTCTCGCACCCTTACGGAGAGCCCCATGAGTGCGACAGAGACAGAGCGACGAAACGCTTCTTCCGAATCGCTCGGCAGCCGGCTAGGCAGCGACGTGCGCCGTGCGGCGTAGGCAACCCAACGCACTCCCCGTCCTCGCGGGGGGTATCTCCAGACGCACTTCTCGCCGCGGCTCGGCGCGGAGTATGCCCGCGGCGGCGTGTGTGTGGTGGTGGTGCTGGTTTGGGGGGGGGGGGGTCTACACGCGGCAGGCGATCTCGTTACTCCAATTGGACGCCATCCTGTGACTTACCGCCGCGCCGGACAGTGGAGTGGACCTCGCGGACCGCCACAGCCACCCCTGCAAGCAGTGCAGGCGCAGCTTGACGGCGGCGAGCTGAGATGACGGCCGGCACGCCACCACACTGCAGGTGCCGCCGTGTCGAGCCATGTCGTGTCGTCTGGCCGCGACCGCGGACTCGCTGGCGGCCTGCAGACTGATTCCGAGAGTCGTTTTCGTCGCTCTGTCTATCTCGCACTCATGGGGACTCCCATACAGGTGCGAGAGAGGCAGCGCGACGAAGACGACTCTCGGAATCAGTCTGCTGGCCTCGGGCCTGGCGGGGTCGTCGAGGTCGCCCAGGAAGGAAAGCAAAGCGCAACATGCTAAGGCTGGCTGGGCCGCGCCCTCCGCCACTCCGCCGCCGGGACGCCGCCCAGCCCAGTGGCTTGGCCGGCTTGGCTTAGCCCGGGCCGGCCGGGCCGGGCACAGCTTCTCAATTGGTCTGATTGGAAGATGCCACCGCAGCGGGCGGAGGCGCGGAGGCGCGGCAGCAGGTCCAGTGCACCCAAAGGCGAGCCCAAAGGGCACAGGGGCGGCGCAGGGACGCCGCAGTGCGCGGGGGGTGCTGTCGCTAAACACACCCTCCGTGGTCGGATTGTGAACACGGCTACTTTACCGTCACTTCCGCCCCTACGCATGTGGAACGCCCAATGAGTGCGAGAGAGACAGGGCGATGATGGCGGGGCCGGCGTGGGAACCCTCCGCTCCCTACTTTGTCTTATCTGCGGCATTATTGGTGCGGGAGTGGGGCGTGGACGTCTTCCCTGGTCCCGCTTGGGGGGTCCCTCTGGAGTGGACTGGGGCGGCGGGGCGGGGCGGCGCGGCGCGGCCGCTGTCCCAGAGTCGCCGAGATGCCGCAGTCGTACCGCGGCGACCCGACTGCCGGCGTGGACGCGTCGTCAGGCCGACGCACTCCAGAGCGAGCCGCGAGTCGCGAAACGCGTCGTGCGCCGCGCACGCACGCCCCCGCGGAGTGTGTCTGTCGGTGTGACTGTGTGAGTGCGTGTGAGTGCTGCCCCCGGTTGACTTCGTTGGTGGTTGATACTGGCACCGGGTCTCTGTGGGACCTGCAGGCCAAGCCACGGTTTTCCCTTCGACGTCGTGGACCTGCACCGGGTGCCGGACAGCCGCTCGTCTGGTTGCCTGTCTGGTTGACGGCGACGCGGGGAAGGGGGAACGCGTAACTCATCGCAATGGCAAAGCGGCGTGCGTGGGGCGGCTGGCGGCTGCATCCAGTGGTGTCCGGTGGATGCGGACCCGGGCTGCGGGGCGGGGCGGGGGTGGGGGTGAATGTGTTCAAAGAGCCTGGAGGGGAGAGGGGTCACTGAATTCTCGGCCTTCCCCTGCCCTTCCCTTTCCGATTGGCAGTGGGAAGGGCCGGCCCAGCTGGTGCCGCGTGGACGGCGGCCCTTGGCGGCCCTTGGCGGCCCTTGGCGGGGGCGCGAGTCCCTTGGCGCGTCCGCAGTCCGCGGGCCGTGTACCGGAAGCGTGGGCAGTGCTGGCCAGCCGGTGGCAATTTTGAGGTCACGCCGGTTTGCCGGGACTGGGCCGGGACAAGACTTGGCCGCGCCGCGCCGCGAGGACTCTAAACACGACAATGTGCCGCGCGAGGCTGCCGCCACTGCCGCCGGCACGCTGGCCGTCGGCTGGCCTGGCCGGCACGTGTGCGTCGACGCCGACAAGTGTTCGTCGCTGACGTGTCCGACAGGTTTCCCGCGGCGCCACTACGAAGGCGACTTACGTAATGCGGTTCCCGCGGGTCCCCGTGCTTTACGGGGTGCGGCTAGGCCAGGGCTAGGCCAGGGCTAGGCCAGAGCCGGCACTCGTCCCCCGGTGCTCCCCCGGCGGACGAGGAGGCCGTCGTTGACTCCCTCGTCGTTCCGCGCAGCTGATGGGATGGTGTGACGGGCCGGCGGCAGCAGCACACCAACGATGGCCTCCAAGTCCAAGTCGACGTCGAGCTCCGGCGGCAGCTCTCCGGCCACCACCACCGCCACCACCGGCACGGCCACCACGGCGATGGCCACGGCCCGTCGGACAGCCTGGCCATCAACATGGGCGGGCTGGACGACGAGGACCTCGCCGTGGACTCGGAGTGGGCCGACTTCGACCGCCTGCTCACCGAGTACCGGCTCCGGCGGCGCATCAACGCGTCGTCGCCGTCGCCGCTGGTGTCGCGGAGGGACCTGCACGAGCTGATGGGGAGGGCCGCGTCCGCGGCAAGGTGTCCCAGGCCTTCTACCCGTGCCCCGCGCCGGCCGCCGGCACGGACCCCGACGACATGGACTACGTGCACACGGCGGTGAGGAGCGGCTTCATCCTGCACTTGTCCACCACCACAGTGTTTGCACTAAGCCGCGTCGGCTGGCCTGTAGCGCCATTTGTAAACATACGACTTTCCTTTGGCGGCTGAGGCAATTTTACTTTATCAAAGCAGCCTAGGAGTACGCACCAACCAAGCCTTTTCATGTGTAAGCAAAGTGAGCAGTAGACTCGAACCTTCGGTAATCCAGCTCCCAGTCGAGTGCATCCCCTTCCACCTGAGCCAGATCCAGGCTGCTCGCCACACTGCGTCCTCACCGTGCGCCATGTGTTGCAGATGTATGGCCGCTACACCAAGGACCTCGGGGAGTACGCCAAAGAGGAGGGTCGCAAGCTCGCGCTGCTCGAACGGAAGCGGAAGAAGGAAGACAGGTGAGGGCAGTGAAGGAAAGGACAGCAGCGCACAGTGGGTTTGCCAGAAGACCGGTGGAGGCGGCCAAAATTCTAGACGCGTTTTGAGCTCCGGGGTCGCTGAATGGGACTAGAACCGAACGTGTGACCCCACCAATGGATTCCTCGTTCGAAGAGCAATCCATTGGTGGGGTTACACGTTTGGTTCGAGTCCCATTTATCGACTCTGGAGCTCAAAACGCGTCTAGAATTGGCCGCCTCCGCCGCACCGGTCTTTAGGCAAGCACGGTGTGCGAGGGGGAAGTTTGAGAACAGAAACTAAACCAAACCCGGTGGCGTGTTGCGCAGGTTACGGGAGAAGGAGTACGACAAGTACAGCGGCAAGTACCGGGGCAAGTGCGCCACCAAGGTGCTGGCCGTGCTCGCCTTCCTCTGGAAGCACACGTTCGCGCGCCTCGGCGAGGACTGGGTGTACCTGGCGCTGCTCGGCCTCATCGTCGCCCTCCTGTCCTTCTTCATGGACGGCGGCATCGGCATGTGCAACCGAGGTGACTTTTTTAGAGTGTTTTTTTTTGTTTTAAGTTGTTGGAAACAAGGGGAAATCACTGTGAATTTCGGTGTACAAATCCGATGAATTTCAGTCAAATTTCGATGAATTTCAGTCAAATTTCGATGAACTTCAGTCAAATTCCGATGAATTTCAGTCAAATTTTGATGAGTTTTAGTTGAATCTCGATGAATGTGAATGAATTTTAGTGAATTTTACATGTTTGATGAATTTTGGTGTACAAATTTGGCTGGAGTTATTTCCCCTTGGTTGGAAACCCTGCCACTGACATGGCTTGGTGTTGCAGCGAGAATATGGCTGTACCGAGACATCGCCACCCAGCACGTGGCGCTGCAGTACCTGGCCTGGGTCAGCCTGCCCACCTTCCTCATCCTCTTCTCGGCCGGCTTCGTGCACATCATCGCCCCGCAGTCCATCGGTAACGTCCTCTCTCTCTCTCTCGCACTCATGGGGCGTGCCGTTGGGGTTCGACGGAGACAGAGCGACGCTGTCCGGAATCAGTCTCGGCGCGCCTGCTAGGCCGAGTTGACAGAGTAATCTTTTGCAGACTCGTACTTGCCGCGACTCTAACTTGCCTGTGTTGCAATCCGTTCCGCCCCGCTCCAGGCTCTGGCATCCCGGAGATGAAAACGATCCTTCGGGGAGTGGCGCTCAAGGAGTACCTCACGTTCCGCACGCTGGTGGCCAAGGTCGTGGGGCTGACCGCCACGCTCGGCAGCGGCATGCCCCTGGGTAAAGAGGTCAGGTGCAGTACTGCCTTTCTCTCGTGGCCCTTCGCCCTGCGGTTTGGTCCCTGCCGCACAGTGGGCCAGAAGACCGGTGGAGGCGGCCAAAATTCTAGACGCGTTTTGAGTTCCAGGGTCGCTGAATGGGACTGGAACCGAACGTGTGACCCCACCAATGGATTCCTCGTTTGAAGAGCAATCCATTGGTGGGGTCACACGCTCCATCGAGCCCCATTTAGCGACTCTGGAGCTCAAAACGCGTCCAGAAGTTTGGCCGTCTCCACCGGTCTACTGGCCCACTGTGTGCCGCCCTCTGCCGCCAGCCCGGCGCTCACACTGTTTTTTGGCCGCCTTGCCTGCAGGGTCCGCTGGTGCACATCGCCAGCATAGCGGCCACGCTGCTGTCCAAGCTGGTCACCTCGTTCCAGGGCATCTACCAGAACGAGAGCAGGAACACCGAGATGCTGGCCGCGGCCTGCGCCGTCGGCGTGGCCAGCTGCTTCGCGGCGCCCATCGGAGGTACAGTCTTACAGTGCAGTGTCTTTTTTTTTTGGCACGATGCTTATATTTGTCTCAACAAACTCGGCGAGTTTGCGGAGCACGAGCACGTGGCCCGAAGCGCCTGGCGGGTAGGCAAAGTCCTGCATGCGAGGCTGCCGCGTTGCCTACCTCCCATTGTCATTACCATTAAGGGCTAGACCACACATGATCGTATGCCATTGCGGGCCCGACACATGCTCGCCTGCACTGCAAAACGAGACATGCGCTCCATGTCGATGACTCGACGGTCTTGTGCGCCGCGCCGGGCAAACACAACACATTTCACAGCAATTTCTTTTCCGCAGGCGTGCTGTTTAGTATCGAGGTAACGACGGTGTACTTCGCGGTCCGCAACTACTGGCGCGGCTTCTTCGCCGCGGTGTGCGGCGCCACCGCCTTCCGCCTCTTGGGGGTGTGGTTCAACAACGAGGGTAAGGGCACAGCGCACAGTGGGCCAGAAGACCGGTGGAGGCGGCCAAAACTCTAGACGCGTTTTGAGCTCCAGAGTCGCTAAACAGGACTCGAACCGAACGTGTGACCCCACCAATGGATTCCTCGTTCGGAGAGCAATCCATAGTGGGTCACACGTTCGTTCGAGTTCCATTTAGCGACTCTAGAGCTCAAAACATGTCTAGAATTTTGGCCGCCTCCACCGGTCTTCTCGCCCACTGTGCCTCGGTGCCTCCTGCCGCCTCCTACCGGCGGCCCGAACTTACCTTGCTTTGGTGTTGCAGTCACCGTCACGGCGATGTTCCTCACCAGCTTCACCATGGACTTCCCCTTCGACCCCCAGGAGCTCATCGTCTTCTCGCTGATAGGGTGAGCGCTGCTGCGACTTCGATCGCCGTGCGCTTGCCCCGGGTTCGAATCCTCGCGTCTCAACACCCCGTCCTTCGTTCTTTTTCAGTGTCCTGTGCGGTCTGGGCGGCGCCGGCTACGTGTGGATGCACCGGCAGTACGTCACCTTCATGCGGAGGAACAAGAGGATGAACGCTTTCCTGCAGAAGAAGTACGCCAAGTCGCGTCGCTCGGTTGGACCATGGTTGGGCATTCGCCGCCGCGTGGCTAACTCACTGCCCTCGTTCTTGTCCTCAGCCGCTTCCTGTACCCCGGCCTGGTGGCGCTGCTGGTGGCCTCCGTGACGTTCCCCAAGGGCGTGGGCCAGTTCATGGCGGCCGACATCAACACCCACGAGCAGGTAAGGCGATCTGCCTGGCGAGCAGGCGGGCCACAGACCGTCATCGTCATCGGCGCTGTTAGGCCTCAGCAGACCTTTAGCGTTCGAGTAAGCAACTACAACAAACACAGAACTCAGACTGCAAACCTCAAATGCAAGGCTGTGTCTTGTCTGAGGCAGTCACCCTCTACTGGGGGGGTATGGGGCAACCTCCGTGGAAGTATGACCCATCGTGGAGGTGGCCAAACCTCTGAACGCATTGTGATCGTCAGAGTCGCTAAATGGGACTCGAACCGAACGTGTGACCCCACCAATGAATTGCTCTCCAAACGAGGAATCTATTGGTGGGGTCTTTCGTTCGGTTCGAGTCCTCTATCCCGACTGTGGAGCTCAATAGACGTCTAGAGTTTTGGCCACCTCCACTGGTCTTCTGGCCCACTGGTCCGTCGAAACCCAGTGCGGTACCCAAGATGCGAGGTCCCCTGCGCAGGTGCTGGGGCTGTTCAGCAACTTCACGTGGACCAAGGGCGACCTGACGGTGGAGGAGGCCGCCGTGCTCCGCCACTGGAGCACCGAGACCACGGGGGTGTTCGTCAGCCTGACGTTCTTCACGCTCTTCACAGTAAGTGGCGCTTTCTGTGCGGCCGGTCGCCGAGGTTCGCCGTTCTAATCCCTCCCCAGTTCTTCTTCTCGATCATCGCGTCCACCATCCCAGTGCCGTCGGGCAGCTTCATCCCCGTGTTCAAGATCGGCGCCGCGCTGGGCCGCACGGTGGGCGAGCTGATGCACTTGTGGTTCCCGGCGGGCATGCGCATCGGCGGCACCCAGGCCGCCATCATCCCCGGCGGGTACGCCACCGTCGGCGCGGCCGCCTTCTCCGGCGCCGTCACGCACACCATCTCCGTGTCCGTGATCGTGTTCGAGATGACCGGCCAGATCACCCACATCATCCCCATCATGGTGAGTCTCGGCCACGCACAGTGGGCCAGAAGCCGGTGGAGGCGGCCAAAACCCTAGACGCGTTTTGAGCTCCAGAGTCGCTAAATGGGGCTCGAACCGAACGTGTGACCCCACCAATGGATTGCTCTCCGAACGAGGAATCCATTGATGGGGTCACACGTTCTGTTCGAGTCCCATTTAGTGACTCTGGAGCTCAAAACGCGTCTAGAGTTTTGGCCGCCTCCACCGGCTTCTGGCCCACTGTGCCACGCAACCCCTTCCCCTTCAACAACCGTCTCGTCATGTTGAAATGTGCCGCAGATCGCCGTGCTGATTTCCAACGCCATCGCCGCGCTGCTGCAGCCCTCGCTCTACGACAGCATCATCCTTATCAAGAAGCTGCCCTACCTGCCGGACCTGCTGCCCTCCAGCTCGGGCATCTACCACGTGTACGTGGAGGACTTCATGGTGCACGAGGTCAAGTACATCTGGCACGGCATGGAGTACCGCGAGCTCAAGGCGGTGCTCAAGGAGAGCCGGAATTTGCGCAGCTTCCCCCTCGTGGACAAGCCGGGTACGTCGAGACCAGGGGTCAACAACCGCAAATTGTTTTTTGTCCCTTTTTTTATCCTTTTCTGCCAGTCTCTAATCACGGTGTCTCTCCGCAGACTCGATGATCCTGCTGGGGTCCATCCAGCGCCTGGAGCTCATCAAGCTCATCGACAAGCACATCGGCAGGGAGCGGCGGCTGCAGGTGGCGGCGCGGTGGCAGCGGGAGGCGCAGGAACGGTACGACAGAAACTCAGTGGGCCAGAAGACCGGTGGAGGCGGCCTAAACTCTGGACGCGTTTCGAGCTCCAGAGTCGCTGAGCAAGAATCGCACCGAACGTGTGACCTCACCAATGGATTCTGAGGGCAATCCATTGGTGGGGTCACACGATTGGTGCGAGTCCCATTTAGCGACTCTGGAACTCAAAACGCGTCTAGAGTTTTGGCCGCCTCCACCGGTCCTCTGGCCCACTGTGAGACATCGCACACGGTGCGGCCGGAAGGGCGCGAGAGAGACAGGTGCTGAGGCTTCCCGCTGCGCAGGGCCTTGGAGGAGGAGCGCGAGCGCAAGCGCAAGGAGGAGCTGCAGCTGGCGCAGCAGCGGCAGAGGAGGCCGTCGCGCTTCGAGGTGATTCCGGCCCCGGACATCCTCAAGATCAAGCAGCAGTCCAACACGGACCTCGCCGCGCACGAGTACTCGAACCACAAGGAGGTAGGTGCCCCGCTGCCCCCGGCCTCAAGCCTTCTACACAGTGAGCCACAAGACCGGTGGAGGCGGCCGAAATTCTGGACGCATTTTGAGACCCGGAGTCGCTAAATGGGACTCAAACCGAGCGTGTGACTCCACCAATGGATTGTTCTTCGAACGATGATTACATTGGTGGGGTCATGCGTTCGGCTCGAGTCCCATTTAGCGACTCTAGAGCTCAAAACGCGTCTTAAGTTTTGGCCGCCTCCACCGGTCTTCTGGTCTGGCCCACTGAGCCCCAAGACACCACCCCCAATGCAAACCCGCACTCAGTGCGTTATTTATCTTTGTTCCGCTGCAGCCGCACTTCAACCCGGTCTTCGGAACCCAACCAAAGAAATCCATCTTGAAGAAGACTAACTCGTTCAACCTCTGCAACTTCGGGCCGCTGATGAACAGCCCTAACATGACGCCCTACACGACGGTGACCGGGGCCGAGAGCCGGTACGTGGAGAGCATTCTTTTTGGAAACAGCGCGGCGCGACAGAACAACGAATGACGCGTTTTCTTGTTTTGCTGTGCCGCAGCATCCGCCTCGCTTTCGACGCCATCTTCCGCAAGTCCACCACGCTCCAGGACGTGAACCCTGGAGACCCCACGGCCAACGGCGGCATCCCGGGGCCGGGCGACATCCCCCTCACCGCGTCCACGCCCGCCAGCCCGAGCCCCTTCAAGAAGGTCCAGCTGGTGAGTCCACTGTAAAACCAAACGTGGACAACTCCACATTTGAAATGCAGAGGTGTGAAATGTTCAGTCTCCACACTTCAAACGCGGAGCTGTCCACGTTTGCACCATGCAAAGAGATAGGGGCTTTGTGAGCTACTCCACACTTGAAGTGTGCAGGCTGCATACTCTGCACTTCCAATTGTGGAGACTTACTCCACGAAGTGTGGACTTGTCCACGTTTGGTTTAACAGTGTCGCGATACACCCCGAGAAACGACTCGGCTCGCCGCGTATGCGAAACGTTAACTCATTTTTCGGCTTGCAGCCCAAGGAGCGCGTCATCGACATGTCGCCTGAGGACCAGAAGATGTGGGAGGAGGAGGAGATGGAGAAGCCGGTGGCGCTGAAGACGGTGCAGGTGGACCCCGCGCCCTTCCAGCTCGTGGAGCGCACGTCACTGCTCAAGGTGCACTCGCTCTTCTCCATGCTGGGCGTCAACCACGCCTACGTCACCGCCACCGGGAGGCTCATGGGCGTGGTCGGCCTCAAGGAGGTAAGCACTCCGCAGTGGGCCAGAAGACCGGCGCAGGCGGCCGAAACTCTAGACGCGTTTTGAGCTCCAGAGTCGCTAAACAGGACTCGAACCGAGCGTGTGACCCCACCAATGGATACCTCGTTCGGAGAGCAATCCATTGGCGGGGTCACACGTTCGGTTCGAGTCCCATGTAGCGACTCTGAGCAAACCCTTCCGGGATTTTGACCGCCCACTGTGCTTTCTGCCGCTCCGCCACTGCCGCGCGACATCTCAAAATTATTCTTGTCTTCTTTACAGCTCCGCAAAGCCATCGAGGACACGAACGCGGGGCTGCTGCCGGCGCAGCCGACGGCAGCGGGTCCCGGTGACGTCCGCGAAGCGCTGCTCAGCGACAAGCCGCAGCGGGGCAGCGACAGCGAGGACCCCAACACGCTGACCATCACGTCCACGGACAGCGCGCTGAGCTCCAGTCCCAGTGAGGGCGACCTGCCGCCCTCCAAGGCCAGCATGCCGCCCTCCAAGGCCAGCATGCCGCCCTCCAAGGCCAGCCTGGCGGCCGGCGCGGTGCAGGCCGGGCAGAGCATCCCCTTGGCCGTCCGGAGCGACATCCGCCGCTGAAGAACCCCCTCCCCTCCCTCGGCAGAGCCAGGGCGGCCATGGCGGCGTGGACTTCCCTGCCATGCCGCCCGCGCCGAGGGCAGGCCGAGGGCAGGCCGAGGGTCGTCTCGCTTCAAGGCTGTCTTCGCCGAGAGAAACTAGGGCAGCCGGCCGTGGAGGCAGGTTCGCTTCCTCCGCTCCACGCAGCATGCTGCCAGCAGGGACGGAGGGACTGCCTTACGAACTCTTTTGCGGTGAAACATGAAACGATTGCGTGACCCGGCGGCGGCAGGGGAAGGGCGGCTGGCCGAACACAACTTCGTGTTAAGTAGGAATGTTATTCAGGGAAATATTAGCCGATCGCGCTTCGGCTGGTAACATTTTTGTGAGTAAATGTGATACCATTTAATTTAAGCTTAAAGGTGGCCCCACAATGGCCGAATTCAGACGGCCGACATGCACCCGACAACCACACGACATCCGTTAAACGGCCTAGGGTCCGTGTTTTTGCACTTATATATTCCCACAGAGATTCTAATTGCTCTCTCCCACACTCAGAAGCCAATACATTCGCGATATTTGATAATCCAAAGGCATTCCGTAGGGAAGAGGGGGCGTCGTCAGGTTGGTACCGCATCCCCCTTCCCTACGGAATGCCTTTGGATTATCAAATATCGCGAATGTATTGGCTTCTGAGTGTGGGAGAGAGCATTTAGAATCTCTGTGGGAATATATAAGTGCAAAAACACGGACCCTAGGCCGTTTAACGGATGTCGTGTGGTTGTCGGGTGCATGTCGGCCGTCTGAATTCGGCCATTGTGGGGCCACCTTAAGACTGCGCCACATTGTTTTGTGGTCATTGTCCTCTGGTTAGAGGAGCTGTGGCCGGTAGAGGTTGTGATGAGTTCAAGAGTTAAATCACCTCCAAACGTTTCTATTAGATTGGACACTTTGCAGTGTTTCTCTTTTTCTTATTAAAAATTGACAGGGCCATGTATATTATGTTATTGGAGCTTCATTTTATTTTCAGCAGCCTTTGCCACATACAATACAAACAGCTATTATTTTAGCTCCAGAATCCTAGTCATCTCAATAATTATTGTAGACTCTTCTTCAATATATAAGTTCAGATCATTGTAGCGGGATAAGATAGTTTGTCTTAGACTTTGTACCTCTTTAAATCTAAAGTTAATTTTGTTTCTAAGCTATGTTTGATTGAGTTGTGCAGTGCTATATTTACAGTTTACATTAACTGTCATTATTATCATCAGAACAAGTAATAGGATGTCACAGACTGTAATTAATTGCTACAATTACTCCACACATTTCCTTTCTGTTTATAAGAGACTGGGTACTGAGGAGATTCTAAAAGGCATATTGCCGTGTGTGGGTCTTTAGGGAGTCCCACCAACAGGGGAATCAAAGGACCTCATGCATATGTTGTTACCGATATGTGAATGTCACATTTTCTCCCTGATACCTGACATGTGTAATTTCCCAGAGGAAAGAAATAATAAAACAGCCAACCGAATTGAAGTTACTTTTGATGAGATTTCGGCTTTTGGTAAATTGATTATGGTGTGAGTTTGGGACTTGTGGAACCACTGCTACCACTGGCGACCTCCGACCGTACTAGCTAGACACTAGAAACAGAAGAGTTGAATCGATCAAGAGAGCGCATACACGGCCTCAAGTGGAACACATTGAACGAACGGGGAATGACCGGCATAACGAGCATCGTGACGGGAAATCCCTGCGAATAAGCCAAAACCCATTATTGACAGGAATGGGTGTGTCGCTAGATTTCTCATCCATCGCCTTATCGGTGGAGGGGGAGAAGGGGGGAACTACCAACATTTAAAAAACAATAACGGAACACTGTAACCAACAACTCAGACAATATTCATTATCAGTATTGTCATTTTAAAAACAATGCACTTGACTTGCTACATGATTAAGTGCATGTCCTCTAGTCGTGAATTGATGAAGTACGCGTAAATTGTGATTCGAACTGGCTCTTCTCGGTTCATTTAGCCGCTGATTTCAAGTTTTCATCAAATTTAGGCCTCCAAGAAATACAATAATAAGAGTTGCTCGATTGCAGTAGCTGCTAATTGCTGTCAGGTAAAACACCGCTCTCGCAAGTCTCCTACTTTTCTTGGGAATTCACCTACTGTTTACTTTTCATCAGTGTCACTTCTTTATCTGCTCTGTTTGACTTGGGTTTCACAGAATTTCTTATCAAGAAGTGGTTCTGTTCAATGTGAGGGAAGTTGAGAAACTATTGCCAAAGAACTTCTGAAATGGCACAGACCGAAAGCATTCAACCTAAGGACGCAAGAAGTATTGACATTCCTTGTACGCAAGAAGCCTTTCGGAATCTCAAAAATGCGAAACGATTTGCAATTGACATAGGTATGATATTAATGTTTCTAGCTTACCATGTTCCTAATTGTTTAATCTCAGTACTTTTAATGCATCCTATTTCCAGGTATCTCGCTGACAAAGATTGCATACTATTCCACCGTCTCACATCGTCGAGTTCATTATGATACTGAAAGAGAGGAAGGCAAACCCAGAATTCCTGACCGAAACTCCTTTGTCTACGAAATTTCAGAGGGAGCAAGGCTTCATTTTATCAAGTTTGAAACAAAGTATATAGAACACTGTTTGGACTTTGTAAGGGCCAATCTGATTCAAAGCAAAGAAAAAATGGCTGGTAAAACAATTAAAGCTACAGGCATCGGCACATTCAAACATGCTGATCTACTCCAAGATAAGTTAGGACTGTCAGTCGATAAAGAGGATGAAATAGATTGTCTCATAAAAGGATGCAATTTCCTGCTTAAGAAAATTCCTAATGAGGCTTTCACATACCATCGTCACGGCGACCCAGAATATGTTTTCCAATCTGCTGACCCCAATATTTTTCCGTACATGCTTGTTAACATTGGCTCTGGAGTGAGTATCATGAAGGTTGAAAGTGAAAGTTGTTACGAAAGGATTGGAGGCACAGCTACTGGGGGTGGTACTTTCTGGGGCTTGGGGTCACTTTTAACATCTGCAAAAGGTTTTGACGAGCTGCTCAATCTGGCTGAGAAAGGTGACCATAGGAATGTGGATGTTTTAATCGGGGAACTGGCTGGAAGTGATTATGGGAAATTTGGTTTGTCTGAAAATTTAATTGCCACTGCTTTTGGGAAAGCGATGAATTGCAACAGTGATTCAAATGACAAAACCAAGTCTCAATTTGCTGAAGCTGACATAGCTAAAAGCTTACTTTTCACAATTAGTAATGACATTGGACAAATAGCCTGTTTGTATGCCATGATGCATAATTTAAAAAAGGTATAGTATACCCTTTTTTGTGGGATTATTTTTGTTGTATTATTTCTCCTAATTGTATTCTTCTTAATTACTTTTGCAGGTGTACTTTGGTGGCCATTTTTTGAGGAATCACCCACTTAGCATGCATACAGTTAGTTTTGCTATCAACTACTGGAGCCGAGGCCAAGTCCAATCGCTGTTCCTGCGACATGAGGGGTATCTGGGAGCTATTGGTGCATTTCTTAAGGGGGCAGAGGAATGTGGTAAGTGTCAACTTAGATATGGAAAAATATTTATAATGGTTATTTTAAAAATGAAAAATGAATATCCACGTTCTTTGAATGTTTATTTCCACCAGACACCGATAAATATTCTTGGCAAGAGAATTATGATGGTAGCTCTGGTTTGCAAGGAACAGTTGTAACTCCCCTTCTCTCTGGTCTGCCTGTGAGCCAGTTGGAAATAGACCGGTGGGAGTCTGCAGTTGGTTTCTGCCCATTGCTTGCAGATCCTGCAAGTTATATTGCAGATACTGTAAACCTCACTCAAGACAATGAAGCAAGGTAACCTCATCTAAAATCTAAAATTTGAGGTATATATAGTAGAATTAGTTTTTAATTGCTGTGTCTTTGTACCTGTCTTGTAGACACTATTGGTTGGATAGCTTTGAGACTTCCATTGACAAGTATGTGCAGAAAGCAGTTGTGAGTCAGCCTGATTCAGCAAATGCCGTAGAAAGAGGACAGCGATTTCGGGACAAATTTGTGGCCCGAGTTCAGTATTTAAGAACCCACCCCTTGTAAGTAATAGATAAAAATAGATGTATATTGTACTGTCTTACGACTTGCTTACTATAGTCTGAATTTATGCTTGCAGTGCATATGGAAGTCTTACTGTGCGCAGCCTCCTGGACACCATGGAGCATTGTCTACGTGAACTAGACTTTCCTGATCCATATTTGCTTGTAAGTAATTGTGTCTGAGAGTATTTTTAGTACTGCTATAAAATTGATCCTAATTATGTTTTTATTTTTTTAAATAATAAAAATGTAAAGCAAAAGAAAGAAGAGAATGAAGCAGCTCTAGAACAGCTAGCAAGGAGATTTGCTGAGTTGGATTGCAAGTCTGGATCTGTGCTTCATGAAGAACTTGTCACATCTATACTTGCTGGCAATATGTTTGATTGGGGTGCTGCGGAGGCTGTGAGGCTGATGGAGAAAGGATCCTTTGGTTTTGAAGAAGCTTTGAGCAAAATTGAATGTTAGTGTTTCACATTTCAGGTGTTTGCCAAAACAATTTTCATTCGTCCGCTGTAACTTTTCATTTTGTTCATTTTTTGTTTCCAGCCCGACCATGGCTGGTTGATGATCTGGACCTATGGTTGCATCACATAGAGATAAGACAGCCTCATAAATGTGCTGCTATATTTGTTGACAACTGCGGTGTGGATTTAGTTCTTGGAATTATCCCATTTGCAAGGGAGTTGTTGAAAAGAGGCACACGTGTGTTGCTTTGCTCCAATTCAGAGCCGGCTTTGAATGATGTCACTCACAGCGAACTCCTGGGTGTTCTTGCCAGAGCAAGCACTATTTGTCCTATTATGGAAAAAGCATTGAAAGATAAACTCCTTATTCCTGTGCCTACTGCACAGTCTGGGCCATGTTTGGATTTTAGGTAAGAGGGTTGCCTCTGTATATTATAAATAATTTCTGGTTGTTATTTACGTTGGTGGCTTAAAATGTTATAATTGTTTTTTTCACAGCCGAGTCAGCATACAACTTATTCAGGCTATGATACATTACCAAGTAGACCTTCTCGTGATAGAAGGGATGGGGCGGGCACTTCATACCAATCTTCTAGCAAAGTTTAAATGTGACTGCCTCAAGTTGGCAGTAATTAAAAACCGCTGGCTTGCCCAACGCTTAGGTGGAGACATATTCTCTGTTTTATGTAAATTTGAGCCAGCTCCTACTTCAAGATGTGCTTGTTGAGGAACCAGACCAACTACTGCAAGCAAACACTCTGCCTGCCTAAAGTGATGGAGGTATTATGACCCTTGGTGGGTTTTTTCTTCCATTTTATTTTGTTCTTGTCATCACTTATATCATTTGTAACAAGAATTTTTTAAATTTTTTTCTGTTGTTGAAGGATGTTCATTCTTGGTGTGTTACTTATTTAGAGCTACATGATCGGGCTTAAGCAACATAAGCTAGTTACCACTGTGCCATAATTTTTCAAATTAAAGACAAATGGTTCTTTGTAAGATATGTTTGTTTCTATAAAAGACAAATTAGAGAGAATTTTTTACTTATGAGTTAAGAGTAGGTAGGTCATTTTAGGTCTGGGCATAGATCATTACCTAAAGGTGTTGATTGAGACTGAGTGGCCTGAGCTGTTCTGTTTTTTAATGTATTATTTCTTTTGCTTTTTAAATACATTTATTTCCCATCATTTTCAATGTCCCTGTTGGCAGTGGCCTTCATATATCTTTATTGGTCAATTTAATTAACACATTCATACTTTTTTGTTGTTGTTATTGTTATTCTATCACCTGTCCTTTGAATGAAGTTCCACTGTATTAATTATTATTGTATTGATTGTCACAATCACCTGGTTGCTCATGATTTTAGTTGTTAGGTTGATGATCCAAATGAGGTTTGATTGTTACCAACGCAGTATCTAATTGTATTGAAGGCAATAATTATTGTTTATTTCTTAGATATCAAAAAAGTAAATGAATGTGATCTGTTTGTTGACGGTCTTTATTGTAACCAGGGACCAGGGGTATTGGTGGCCATGGAGGAGCAACATTTTGTCCAAAAAAAATTTAAGTTACTCGCTAAATTGGCGTCACGGGCAATGCCATTCTCACAACATGTATCAAAGACCTTTGGGCACCGGGTGTCTGTTCCCTAGACCGGTAGCAACATTTCCTGTAAATTCAGACAAGCTGTGGTCATTGACCACTCTTGCCATAAAGCTTGCGCCATTAAGGATACGTTTGGAGGAAGAGTGTTACGAACAGCCAGGAGGCTCAGATGGTTGAGAGGTCTGCATGACAAGTAATTTAATTTGAATTCAGGCGAGTCAACCGTTTTCCCAGATTACTTCTGCAATCCGGGGCCTTAGTCTGAGCTTCAACGTCCTTTGTTCAAGTTTTCTGGTGGCTCGGATGTTCGAGGTGATGGCAGCTTACTTTCACGCGCGATAGTTACTATCACTTGGACGCCAACCGAGCTAGTGTTCTGGTGGCTTGATTGGTTGAGATGACGACTGCCGCGAGTAAAATTTGGAGAAAAAGAATGGATTTGGCGGATGACAGCTGATGACTGGAAGTTGGAGCCATCGTGGCTATAAGAAAAGCAAACTCTTGATTTTTTCCCCCTGTAGAGAGGCAAAAGAGTTCCCCTCATCGGGTCCCCACCCCCCCTACCCCCCTCCCCGAAGGGAGGGTAGAGTAGAGGTATCATAAAGGGTATATGGAAATTCAGTCCCGGGAATACTCCCAGACGAACCGACCTGGTGGCGAACCAGGGCCTCGAAGAACTGTCGTGCCGCCGCCCTGCCCACTACGCTACGGCGACACACCTATCGGAAGCGTCCAATCTTAGAGTGATGGTACCGGTTCTGAGAATGGAATCGGGGAAAAGAGCAATCTACCCAGGATTTGAACCTAGGAAATTTGCATGGCAGCTTTCACCCCATCCATCCAAGCCACCCAGACACCTGGTGGGGAGGCGTCCAATCTTAGACTGATGGTACAGGATCTGAGAAGAAAATAGGAGAATATACTGATCCGTCTGGGATTCGAACCCACTATGTTCTAATGGACTCAGACTTATGGCACTGGATTGCAGAAGTAAACTGGGGAGAAGATCAACCCGCCTGGGACTCAAACGCAAGATGCTGGTGTTCTGGGGTCCAAAGCAAATAACTTAAATTCCTTTTGCTAGAACGTTGCTCCCCCCTGACTAAAGCTTGAAGGTGTGCATTGGCCTGGTGAGCCCCACGGCGTCGACGCCCCCGGTTGGAACAGTCCATGGTTACTTAATGGCTTTGCAGTCACGAATTTATTATGGGTCCAAAAGAGAAATGCTGTTAAGACTTGAGAAAGGCGTTAAGTACTGTATAATGTAAAAAGAATCGTTGCAAGTGCAAATCAAGCTACAATACCAAGTTAAAACCTCAGGTTCTGATCTGAAATTTATTTTTTTCAAGTTTAAACTTCCAGTTTCATTGTGTCATATTAAAAGATACTGAAACAGAAACAGTGACTTAGAAAAGAAGCATTTTTACAGTCATACATGCTTCCTACAATTTTAGAAAATGCTGCTGGTCCACCAGCGCATCTACGAGATCAATTCTTTTGCTCTGGTATCTTAACACTATTTGTATTTTGAGTTACTTAATTGATAAAGTATTGTGATATATACATAAATATTTTTTAACAATGGATGTTAACAATTGTCGTACTGGAAAGTTGTTGAGTTTTGATTGTACTTTTAATTAAAAATAAAAAACAGTAGATGGTTAGGTTTATTTTCCCTCTTTGTTGAAGAGAGACATACAGTAATAAGTGCTTGAAGAATTATACAGGCAACTTGCATTGGACTAGAAATTCACAAGATTACAAAACTACTGCAGAAGCCTTTCAAATTAAGTGACAAAACAATTAAAAAGTTGTTTTAATTGAATTGAGTTATACAGCAGATATTGCATTCCCTTAAATGCAGTCTAAGTAAACAAATCACAGAAAATACATTATAACAAAGACTTTGCTATTGCTAAGCCAAAAAGGACAAAGCAAAGTCATAAAAAATATACTTATCAGAAAAAGTCCCACTTGAGGAAAGATTACCCTACATCATTGTTATTTGTAGCTTAAAACAAATAGATAGGTACATTTCATAGATAATGCTACAGCTAAACTTTCCCTTTCATGGAAAGTGTTTTGAACTTCACTTAAGTGAAATTTCTAGTCTAGCCTCTTTACAAATCTATAACTACATAACAACAATATGTACAGTCTACTGGCTGAGATAATGCCTAATCCAAACCTTTGAGATTTCAGGATATCAGCACCACACAGATAAAGCTCACTCCAAGCGGTCACAGTGTCCATAGACTAAAATGTTCAAATTAAAAAAAGAAATCATTGGTGAAAGACAAACCTTACTATACCACCCAATTATAAATTATAATGTAATAGGGGAAAGGGCTCCTATTATGTGCTGTGAAGACTTTACAAAGTAAACCTGGAAAAGAATGGCTAAGGCCGCATCTCACACACTTCAGTTCAAACCCATTTGTGCTATTCTAAAACACAACAAATGTATACTTCCTGTTAGAAAAAGAACATCGGGAATAAGTACAGAGCACTAAATTGTCCCCACAACTTGCATGCTAAACTATTTTTATATTACAACAGTTCATGGAAAATAACTAATTTGTGAGGGGGGCATCAAATTCATCTTTGCACTTAGGAATGCTTTGAATGCACAGTCACAGTATTCATACACAATCAAACACAAAATGGCAGGAAATGGTTTCAACTTTGAGTTGATTTGAGCAAGTAATAAGTTCCATATTCATTAAACATTGCAGAAAGGACTGGAACATAAAAGGCCCGAAACACTGGATCCGATCTGGAAATAGGAACCAGAAATGAATGTAAGTTATAGAAATCACAATGAAATAACCTACTAAAAGGAAAAACACAACAATCTGCCTCTCTTACCTGGCAGCATTTAAAAATGGAAGGCTCTTGACAATGGTCCATGAAGAAGTGTTTTGTGCATAGAATGGTTCAGCAGGAGATTCATATCCCAAATGAGCATCAATTAAGAAATTACACTTGCTCAAAGGAAACTAGAAAAAATTGTTACAGTAAGAATACTTTGTTACTGGCGTTCACTAGGAGTAAAACTGGTATGACTGATTATGTTACTTACATAACGGGATGGCTCTTCAAGGTTCTGCGAATTCATATTTTCTGGAATAACGGCAGTAGCATCAGGACCATTGCTGAATGGAGCTGGTAGCTGTCCTTTAAACTCAGACTGAAGAAACCGAAGATGGAACCTACAGAGGCAATTGTTAGTACCATCATTTGTTCAATAATAAAAATCAACCACATACTTCTTTGGAAATGGAAGACAAACCTGTCATTTGGCAAAAAGAAGCTAGAGGGAAATCTATGCCATTCTTTACCGACACACACGTTGATATTTCCTCTCTTGGGAAGGTCTTGAAGCCCACTGCTTTGAAGCCCACTTAATTCCATATATATATCCATTGGAGCATGATAGCCTGTGCAAGTTAAATTCATACATTAAAATCCACATTCGTTTGAAAATAATACACTGGCAATGTGAGAAATTTATCCATAGTTACCATTGTACAATGTTAAAATCCTTGATAGACCAAGGAATGAACATACCACAATAGATATGACAAATATAAATGTGGTATAGTTCAGATAATGTAATGGTTTTGTGTCAGACTTTTTCTTCTTACAATATTGGATAATGAGAGCAAACCACAATTTTTGGACAGTATCAACAGTTACAGCTCCGCAAAGACAAATTAATGGATACACTGGGAAAAGAAACCTTTCTTCCTGTAAGAAATTTAAAAATCTGTCATTAGCACATAAAATAAAAGTCCCACATTATAAAACTAGAGCAACAGAGTGGCCTTTATCTTGGACATGGAACCAGAAAAAAAATTACCTTGTGAGGTTGCAAGAAGAAAACCGCACACCAAAGGTAAAGTGGCATTAATGACAGCCAAAATGGTAAACATGCTGAGTGACGGGGCTGTGAATGCAAAACCAACCCAGCCAAAACCTGAGATCAAAAAAACCAAACAGGCAGGTTAAAAGATGCATGAACAGGCTGACAATGGGATAAATAGAAAATTTACTGCCAACATACCAAGACTAATGGGGTTAAAATAGCCAACACAGAGACAAAATTGAAATTCAAGAAACAGTTGATGAAGTAAAAGGACCATGGTTCAGTTCCATATAAATCAGGCCCATGAGATGTGAAAACATTATACAAGATAATGTTAAAGGGAGCAAAAACCAGCCGCCCATAGTACTGGGAGTCAATCCAGATCATTGGAGGCTAAAGAAAAGAGGTGAGAAAAAATAATTAAGTAAAGTGTTTATAAAACAAGCATTATTTAAAAACCACAAGTTAAGGATTTAGGCCTTACTACAATGGCAGTTGTTGATATAATACTCCAGCGTAAAAATCGTGAGATGTCACGTTTCCTAAAGACTAAATCCAAAGCAATCGGCAAGCTAGAAAGAGAGGACAGTTACTCAAATTTTCCAGAGAGTTGCTAATATTGAAAACATCATGAAATATTTCTTACCCAATGAGGCCTGCAAATGGCCAACTTAAAAATGCAGAGAGAGCCGTCGCCAATATAGCTACCTCATATTTGCGCTCAAACCAGGCTGCCATGGAGAGGAGGGTCATATACCTAAATTGATTCAAATTTGATTAGAATATTTCACATTAACTAGTAGTGTAATAATGATAAAAACACTTTATCAGAAGGGACTTACATTGAGAAGGTGGATGGTAAAAATGCAGTACTTGAAATGAACATTCCAGCACTAAACAATAAAAAGGCCAAAGTCAAGCGACCAATAGCAACTCCAAACTCCCGACAAACAGCCCTGAAAGGAAATGTTGCAAATAAATTAACTGAAATGACTAAAATATCAATAGATAGTCAGTTAAAAATTAATTAAAGAACCTCACTTGTAGAAATAAAGCTCACACCAGGCACACACAAGTGCAAATAGACAACGTGAGAAATAGAATGTCAGCATGCGATTAGCTTGAAAAAGTTGAGAATACAACCAAGCAGGGAGCATGTTCACCATAATGTAAGTGTAGGACCTCAAAGAAAATTCAGGGGAATACTCCCAGGTCTGAAAGCCTTTGCCATACAGCATGAAGTGGCTCTGGAACAGGACGCAAGGATAAATGTAGCAATGTTATCTGATGAGAGTGAAGAAAACTACTAAACTTACGGGTTCCCAAAAATTGTAGGTTTCATCGCAGTCAGAAATGTTGCTCCATATCGCAGAACAAAACCGAGCTGTTAATAATATTTTAAAGGCAATGTCAGCTTTTGGATAGACAAGGCCAATTTCGGATGGATGAGGAGATACAGGTACATCTTCTTTCCTGTAATAAAACAGGAAAATTATCAGGATTCATAAAGTAGGTGCACATGAGGGAAAGATGACAATGGTGGTTCTATCACACTGGAATAGTTTGGATAGTTTGAAAGAAACAGTAGAAGCAGAACTCAGTGAAATGGAAGAAAATATCTGTTAACCTTCCATTCACGATCCAACCACTAGCAAAAAATTCAAGGTTTCTTACGTTGACACATTATTTTTTGCTTTCTTGGTCAATTTCTTCACTTCTTTCTTGGAATGGGCAGTTTGTCGTGATCGTATACTAGGAGCCATGGCTCGGAAAGGTAACAAATCAAATAACCGGCACCGGTGTCACAGCTGTTCAAAGCAGAAGGTACCCGGAAAGCTAACGCGCTGGGCCCGTGCAGACGACATTTGACGTGGACGTGTTAGCGCTGGCTGTTTTGACGTAGGACTGCGATTCTTAAAAATTCGACCTAGGTCTACAAACTACGGCAAAAATGTAAAAAAAATTGAAAAGCGCCCGCTGCCATGCAAGAGCCGAGTCTGGACGGTTGTGTGTGAGTTGGGATATGATTATTCGCCCCTCGAGGGCTGTGTTCGCAGGACGGATTTTCATTGGCTGGCGGCAGCGGGGCGGAAAGGGGCGTGGCAGTGAAGCAGCGGGAATGCGCGCTGCGTTTCAAAATCCGTTTCCGAACTACTTTTTCTGATTATGGCTGTTCAAAATCGACAGGTGGTTTGGGTATAGTAAAATCACTCGGTCAATCGTCGTCGCTTTATTCGTCATTCTTATAACCTACCATAATTACAAAAAATAAATAACAACTACATCGTCAATTCCACTCACAAATTAACAACAGAACGAAAATTCGGTATTCGGAAAGTTTGAGCATGCCCTCGAAATGCAGGCGGGCAAGATGGGTCTTCCTTGAAAGTGAGGAACGAGAGACGCTTTGACATATCGCAGCGTTTTTTCTGACGACAGAATCATTAACAGCAGTCTTGGAAACGACATAGCCTACATGGCAGCTTGTGAGCGCAACTTGGTAACAAAGTACATAACTAAGCGAGGTTCACACCTAGCCCTCTCCTTTGAAGGGTCTTTGATATTTTGTAGGTAACTGAATTACATGGCTGTCTCATTTTATATCCGGCCCCTGGTACCGTTCAAGTTCAGGTCAGCACCGGCCACCCGGTATGACTAGTCAATCGACACCCGCCGATGAAAGGGGAGAGAGGTGTCTTGACTGATCGGGGTTTGTCCGCCCCGTTCGGCGGGGCGCGCCGGGCGAGGAGAGGGCGAGGGGCCCTTGGGGGGGCCCTTGGAGGGCCCTTGGAGGGCCCTTGGAGGGCCCTTGGAGGCCTACGCGTAGGGACCGCCCTCGGCCGCGGGGGCGGAGTACGACGTCTCCCCCGCCGAGGACGCCGACGACGCGGAGATGGCGCTGGCGTCGCTGTGGCTGTGGCTGTGGCTCTGGCTGTGGTGGTGCGCCTCGGCCGCGGCGCTGGCGTCGAAGCCCGAGCTGCTGGGCGCGGACAGGCCGATGGTGGGCAGGGCCGCCGAGGACAGACCGCCAGAGACCGAGTTGACGTCGACGCCGGACGCGATGCCGGACACGGCACCCGCGGCCGCTGCCTCCTGCTGGGTCTTGTACTTGATGAAGTACACCTCGGGCTTGGAGGGCTCGGTGGGCGCGGGCTGCTGCACCTGCAGGTCGGGCTGCTCGTCGGGCTTCTTGACCAGCACGTAGATGAGGGTCTTCTCCTCGTCCTGCTGCGGGAGGCGCACGGTGGCCTGCGTGGGCGAGGCCTGGGTGGGCGCCTTGATGAAGACGATCTTGTAGTTCTTGCGGGGCGGCGGCGGCGGCGGCTGGTAGTGGCGCGTGTGCGACTCGTGCTCCTCGGGGGCCACGTGCACGTAGATGTGCTTGCTGACGAGCGGCTCCTGCGGCACACCGAAACAACACGGTCAAGAATCGCCAAGCAGTCCGCCAGCACACCTCCACGCTAAAAATAAATGAATCACGAAAACGCAAACGCTTTCTCACGGCGTCGCCGCGTCTCCTCAACGGGGAGCTCGACGAGGAGCGAGACTAATTTGCCGGCAGTTGTTCCTGATCGCGGCACGCGGGCACGCGGCATGGGGCTGACGCAACGGACATGACGGATACAACGGACAGACTTTCTTGTTCTTTCTCGGGCACGCCAATCATGTCACTTCCCTCTCGCTTGCTCTCGCTTTGTACTGTAAGCAATCAAGCTTTGGCACGGCCAGGCCCGGCCAGGCCCGGCCGGGCCGGACCGGCTGAGTCATCGGCTCACCTAACCAACGTCCTTAATGAGCAGTGTAGGGCAGGTGGGGGGCCTCCCCGCGGGTGCCTCCGTGTGCCGTACCGCTGTGCCACTGCAGACTGATTCCGGGCCCTGCTCTCGTCGGTCTGTTTCCCTCGCACCCTCATGTTGCGCCCCATGAGTGCAAGAGAGACAGACTGACGAGAGCGCCTGGCCCGAAATGGCATACGATCATGTGTGGTCTAGCCCTTAATGGTAATGGTAATGGCAGGTAGGCAACACCGCGCCGGCCCGACGCGGCTGTCTGGCGTGGCGGCCTATCCCGCCGATGTAAGGCGCTCTGGGGGACGGCGACGGCGACGCGACGGCCTTCCGTTTTTGTTTTGTTTTTGCTGTTACTCAACACGTTTGCCGCCGTTTGACAAGCAGAGCGTCGCCAACCGGGCTGGCGACGCGGATGACGAGGTGGGAACGAGGGGCGTGGGAAGGGAGTCCGTCAAAGGGACGCGCCGATTCAGCAGTGCCCCGGCAGTGCCGGACAGGAAGAACCAGAAGAAGCAGACGAGGACGAGAAGACACTCCCACCGCACTGTCGTTTTTGCGCGAGGACCTGCCGCGCGACACGCGGCCCGAGGAAAGCATCTCGGACTCACCTTCGGATTCGGACCAAGCCACCGAGTGTCGCACAGTGGGCTGGAAGACCGGTGGAAAAGGCCAAAATTCTAAATGCTCCAGAGTTGGTAAATAGGACTTGAAACGGGACGTGTGACCCCACCAATGGATTGCTCTCCAAAAGAGGAATCCATCGGTGGGGTCACACGTTCGGTTCGAGTCCTGTTCAGCGACTTTGGAGCTGAAAACGCGTCTAGAGTTTTGGCCGCCTCCACCGGTCTTCTGGCCCACTGTGTGTTGCGCGAGTCCCTCTGAACGTACCTGGTGGCTGGAGTGGCTGGAGTAGCTGGAGCCGCCGGTGCTGCCGGAGTACGACGCCGAGCTGGAGTCGGACGCGTAGGACGCGCCGGAGGTCGCGAAGGAGGACAGGCCGCTGCTGCTGGCGCCGTGCGACGCGGACAGCGCGGAGGACACGCCGCTGCTCAGGCCGGAGGACAGACTGGCGTAGTCGGCCGAGGACGACGAGGACAGCGCGGGCACGCCGTAGCTGGACGTGGGGGCGGCGTAGGTGGCGGCGGGGGCGGCGTAGGTCGGGGTGATGTAGCCCACCGATGGAGCGGCGTAGCTGACAGAGGGAGCGGCGTAGCTGACGGACGGGGCAGCGTAGCTCAGGGCGGGGGCCGCGTAGCTGAGCGCCGAGGCGTAGCTCAGCGAGGGCGCACCGTAGCTGAGCGCTGGGGCGGCGGGGGCGTAGCTGAGGGCCGGAGCCACGGAGTAGCTAGCGCTGGCGGAGGGAGCGGTGTAGGCGTAGCTCTGCGCGGGCGCGTAGCTGGCGTAGCTCAAGCCGACGCTGGGGGCGGGGGCGCCGTACGCGGAGGACAGTGAGCCAGCGCTGTGGCTGGAATGGCTGGAGTGGCTAGCGTGGCTAGCGTGGCTTGAGTGGCTGCCGTGGCTGGAGTGGCCGTGGCTGGAGCTGGGCGTGCTGTAGCTGGTGGTCAAGGTGGAGTACCCGGAGGACGGTCCCTTGGAGTAGTGAGGGCGCGGGAACCTCACGGAGGAGGAGCTGAAGGCCGAGGTCTTGTAGTGGGGCCCGTGGCTGTGGCCGTGGCTGTGGCTGTGCCCGGAACTGTGCCCCGAGGAGTAGCCGTGGCTAGGTCCGTGGCTGGAGCTGGGCGTGCCGTAGGTGAGGGACGGCAGCTTGCTGAAGGACGCAGAGCTGAGCGGCGCGGACACGCTGAGGGAGGGCGCGCCGTAGCTCTGCGACAGTCCGCTCGAGTGGTCGGACACCTGAGCGACAACAAAGGGTCCGGTGAGGGCAAGCACTCGGTGGCTGCCGAGCGATACAGAAGATCGGCTTGTCGCTCTGCCTCTCTCGCACCCTTACGGAGGGCCCTATGAGAGCGACAGAGACAGAGCGACGAAGTGACTCTTCTGAATCACTCGACTGGCGTGGGACAGTGGGCCAGAAGACCGGTGGGGGCGGTCAAAACCCCGGACGCGTTTTGAGCTCCAGAGTCGCTAAATGGGACTCGAACCGAGCGTGTGACCCCACCAATGGATTGCTTCTCCGAACGAGGAATCCATTGGTGGGGTCACACGTTCGGTTCGAGTCCTGTTTAGCGACTCTGGAGCTCAAAACGAGTCTAGGGTTTTATCCGCCTGCACCGGTCTTCTGGCCCACTGTGCGTGTAGGGCACGAGTTCGACGCTTACCTTGATGCCCGGGGCTCCGTACGCGGACGACGGCGCCGGGGCGGGGGCGGGGGCGGCGGGGGCGGACGGCGCGGAGTACGTGGCGAGCAGCGCGGGCGCGGCGTAGATGGGCGTGAAGCCGTGGGACAGCGCGCCGGGGGACAGCAGCGACGAGTCTCCGGACGACCCGGAGGCGGACGAGCTGCGGGCAGAGGCAAGATGCAGGCACCGCGACGACCACCTCGCCACTTCCCTACACTATACAAGGGTGGCCCTGCCCGGCCCTGCCCGGTCCTTGGCTCGGGGCACTAGACGTGACGTAAACTTGACCACGGCGCCGAGGCACGGCGGCGGGGCGTCCTCGCGCCGCGCCACCGCAGAGGAATGTCCGTTCTAGGCGGCGCGGCGCGGCGCGGCGAGGCGGGCGTTCCATCGGGCGTTCCTGCCGGCCAGGCCAGCCGCCGCGCCGGCTCGCCAAATCCAAAAAGGGCTCCGACACCGCCCCTTCTTCTCCGTTCCGTTCCGCTCTGCAGTTGATGGCTCCGCGAAGGGAACAGGGAACGGCCGGCCGATACCCGAGTGGCGGGCCGCAGACTGATTCCGAGAGTCGTCTTCGCCGCTCTGTCTCGCTCGCACCGATAGGGGACGCCCCGTGAGTGCGGGAGAGACAGAGCGACGAAAACGACTCTCGGAATCAGTGTGCTGGCGGGCTGGCGGGGCGGCGGCAACACAACCGCCGGAGAAAATACCCTTTCGGCCGTGAATCAAGCCCTGCCTGCCCAGCCAGCGCGGTGCGAGTGAAGCACGAAGCAAGGCGCGGCAACCGCTTCTCGGCATCCTCGACGTCCGGGCGTTTCGGGGAGGTGCTCACCTGTAGCCCGAGGGCGCCGAGTACGCGTAGCCGGACGAGGGAGGCTCGGCCCGCGCCGCGGCCAGCACGGCGGCCAGGAGTACCTGCGGACAGAGACGACGGCAAGGGTCAGGACGGTCAGGACCAGAGATGCAAATTTTCCGGAAACTTTCAAAGGGTAAAAAAAACAACAAAAAAAAACCGGAAAAGTTGAAAAAAAACCAGAAAATTTGGAAAAATAGGAAAAATTAGTTTTTAAGCACAAGGGTCAGGACGGTCAGGACCAGAGATGCAAATTTTCCGAAAACTTTCAAAGGGTCAAAAAAAAAACAAAAAAAAAACGGAAGAGTTAAAAAGAAAACCCAGAAAATTTGGAAAAATAGGAAAAATTAGTTTTTAAGCACTATGAACATGAAACCTACTACTTTTGTGCTTTGTTACAACTTTTCTTATACTGCAGTATAACCCGAGATTCACAACAGCAAGCTCAAAAAACGCACGAGAAGGAATCATAACAGGGTATAAGTAGTTTGAGTGCACTGAGAATCGTGTTCACATAGGGTTAAAGGTATGCTTTTCGCCTACTTTCAGGCGGAATGCTCGACTTTTTGCCTACTTTTCAGGCTGAATCTTTCCAATTTTTCCAAGGTCAGGGAAAAAAAAAACACTGTTTTTTTTTCAATGTTTCCGGAAACTTTCCGGCGAGGGGGGAACAGCTTCCCACAATCGTTGTACAAAATTTGACCACATTCCACATTCAGGAGGCAAAAACACCTGTAAGTAGGCAACATGTGTGGCAAAAAGCAAGAAATAACCTTGCACATTCACACAATCATTGTACACAAAATTTTACAGTGGGTCACCCCTCGCTTTCCGGGCATTTTCATCCCTAGTCAGGACACATGCGGGACACGTTGGTGATGAGCAGCAGGGCCATCTCGCCCAATCAGGCGGCCGGAGAAATGGTGCGCCGCGCCGCGCCACGCCGCTCCACGTCACCGGGACCCGACCGGTTTCCTGGTCACTCCTCGCGCCGACTTTATGGCGGCGCTGCTCGCCGGGAAGGGCGCCTTTATGGCCCATCCTCGGCCGCTCTGTCTCTCTCGCACCTCGACGGGACGCCGCGCGAGTGCGAGAGAGACAGAGAGACGAAATCAGCCGCCAGCCCAGCCCATCTTCCCAAACGGCGCGGCGAAAACAAGCGGCCCGGACAGTACCGTGGTCCAGAGGGGGGAGGGAGGGGGGGAGGCTGCTGGTCGGACGGCAGTTTGAATCATTCTCACGAAGGCGGGCGGGGAGCGGGACAGGCAAGGGTCCGGGCTTCTTGGATCACTCTCACCCGCCACGCCCCGCCACGGCACGCCGCGCCGCGCCTCACCACACGTCATCCTCGCAGGTTCTGTAACCGCAGTGACTCTGGCACCTGCAGGGCGCGCACCTGCAGGACGTCACGCGCGCTGCTGCCATTTTTGGCAGTTCCCTTTTTTCCTGTTTGCCTCGTTTTTGATGATGCAAAACTCCCGTCGACTCGCTCTCGCCCCAGTTCACCGACGCACTAAAGCGTCGATGATCTCATGTATGACTACTATTGTGAAACACGAATAAAAAAGGCCAAGCATTGAAGAAGAAATGCACTCGATTCAATTTTATCATCGTTTTTTTAACGATGTAGTTGTGGACTGGCGGTCATATCTCCCTGCCGCGGCCCTTTCCCTGCTGGCCTTGATGAAGGGCATGATCACGTCACGCGGCCGGTGCACTGGGAGGGGGAGGGAAGGGGGTTCAGTTTTGTCCGGGATTACCGGCCTTGATCGGGACTCCGAAAAAAGTTACAAGCACTAATACAATAAGGCCTGGGCGATGACGGCCCCCTGCTGGCCGGCCGGCTCCGAGGGGCGGGGCGGGGCGGGTGTTCCACCTGCTGCCCCACTAGCGAGAGCCCCGCCCGCCCCGCCGCCTCCAAGGTCGCCTTCTTTCTTTCCGGCCGGCATTCCGGCGGCGAAGGAGAAATGACTGTCTCTCTCTCTGTCTCCGGAGGGCCGGCCGGGCAGAGCTTCTTCCCGCTTCCCTCGGCTCGGCGTGTCGCGAGGACGGCCGCCGTGACTCCCTGACGGCGTGGTGTTGACGCCGTGGGTTCACACAGGCCAACCGGGGTGGACGGCGGACGCCACACGCGAACTCCAATGTCCCCGCCACGCGGCGCCAGCAGTCCATCATCATCATCATCATCATCATCATCATCATCATCATCATCATCATCATCATCATCATCATCATCATCATCATCATCATCATCATCAGTGCTGTTAGGCCTATGCAGACCTTTCCGGACAGTCTATAATCGCTCCGTCTCGCTCGCACCCCTACGGAACGCCCCGCGAGTGCGAGAGAGACAGAGCGACGAAAGCCCTGTTCGGCGTCATCCTCCATCCAGGCGCCGCTTCGCGTCTTCCCGGCGCTCCATTCCATTCAGAGGCCGAGGAATCTATTGTCCGCGGTCACCGCCATGAATCATGAGGTCGTCCCGGGGGGCCACTGGGGGCTGTTGGGGCCCGCCGGGACGGGCAGCCAATGACAGCACGCGCATGTGGGTCACCGGGGCGGCCCGGCGGCCCGGCGGCCAGGCCCGCGCCCTGGAACTAGTTTGGTGGGGACCTGCACGCACGCGGTGCACGCGGTGCAGGCGGTGCACGCGGTGATCCTGGACCCTTGCCGGTAAATTATGATGGGGCCCGCCGCGCCCCGCGCCGCGCCGCTCCGCCCCACCCCGCTCCCCGCCAGCCGGGCATCGCGATGGCATCATTAGGCCCTTGACTGCCTTGACGCGACCGCCGCGGTGCGGTGCGCACTTCCCTTCTCACTTTCAAAAAAAAAAAAAAAAAAAAAAAAAAAAGGTTGAAGATTTATCTGGAAGATTCTGATAGCTCGTCGCTCGGAGCGACGCGGGACGCGAGGACTGCGGGCCGCACTCTCGTTAAGGCGAGTGGGGCGCGCTTTTATTTGTCCGTCCGTATTGTTTTAACGAGGCGATGCGATAAGTGATTAAGGATGATTTACTCCAACATCTTCATCGGCGGGGTGCGTTCGTCTTCCACAGTGTCGGGAAGTGGGACCACCACGGGGCGCTGCTGCCCCCTCACAGTGGGCCAGAAGACGGGTGGAGGCGGTCAAAGTCCCAGACGTGTTTTGAGCTCCAGAGCCGCCAAATGGGACCCGAACCGAACGAGTGACCCCACCAATGGATTGCTGTCCGAACGAGGAATCCATTGGTGGGGTCACACGCTCGGTTCGAGTCCTGTTTAGCGACTCTGGAGCTCAAAACGCGTCTAGAGTTTTGGCCGCGGTCTTCTGGCCCACTGTGGCGCGGCGAGACACGCGTCGATGGCCCACTGTTCCTTCGGGAGCAAGTCCCGTCCCTGCTCCCGGAGAGACGAACGACAACGGCGGCACGGCACGTTACGTGCAGCGCGAGGAGTGCCAAACGGCGTCGTCGGGGTCCTGCCGGCAGAACCTCAACAGCGCTGCTGCCTCTCTCGCACTCACGCGGGCGCCCCGCAGGGGTGCGAGAGAGACAGCGCGACGGAGCACTGTTAGCCTGGAGGCCGTCTCAGCCGGATCGAACACCGCCACGGCATCGCGCGATATAAATTTTCCGGCATTGCATCTCTCTCTCTCTCTCTCTCTCTCTCTCTCTCTCTCTCTCTCTCTCTCTCTCTCTCTCCCTCTCTCTCTCGCACCCACGCCGAAGAGAAAGAGCCGCGAAATGGCTGTTCGGCGCGGGTGTGGCGTGGCGGTGCGCGCTGTGCCTGGCTGTGCCGCGCGGAGCTGCGGATAGCCTCCCCGTTTCTAATTGCCGCGTCGTCATGAAAAATTCATGTCATCCGCCACGCCAGGCCGCGCGTGTCGTGACCGACGCGTCCACTGCAAGGGGACGCCCTCTCCAAAGCAAAATTTAAGAAAAAAAAAAAAGACTGGAAGAAAAACGGGCAAGCAGCGGCGCTGCTCGGTTTCGCGGCTTTGAATATTTATCAGCAGATCATAAGTGTGGCACTTTTCCCCGCGCCTTACGACACCGCGAGCAAGCAGACCGATTCCGACAGTCGTTTTCGCCGCTCTGTCTCTCTCGCACTCATGGGGCGTCCCGTATAGGTGCGAGGGAGACGGAGCGACGAAAACGACTCTCGGAAACGGTCTGCAGGGCGTCCGCAGGGTGACCGCAGACGCGGTGGGGAGCGCACAGTGGGCCAGAAGACCGGTGGAGGCGGCCAAAACCCTAGACGCGTTTTGAGCTCCAGAGTCGCTAAATGGGACTCGAACCGAACGTGTGACCTCACCAATGGATTGCTCCCCGAACGAGGAATCCATTGGTGGGGTTACACGTTCGGTTCGAGTCCCATTTAGCGACTCTGGAGCTCAAAACGCGTCTAGAGTTTTGGCCGCCTCCACCGCTCTTCTGACCCACTGTGGAGCGAGGCACCGTATAAGGACGGGCCCAACGCGACTCGCACTAGCCCGGGCCGATCCGGCCGGAAACAAAGAAGAGGGGGGGGGGGGCTAATGCCGGCGTGACGAAAATGTAACGCGGAGAGTGCGGAGGACAACACGCGGTCGCGTTGTTTCTGGAGCAGTGGTGACGCAACGCAACGCGGCGCGGCGCGCAACCCAAAGGAATGTATGATTAGCTCGACCGCCGTGTCGGCACTTTGTTTAAACTTGAGCATGCAGGGTGTGCCATCAATCTTTTTCGCAAAGCGAGTAACACGACACCGCCTTGTGTGTGTCTGCACAATGCCTCCGACTTTCTCGCTGACGGCCCGGCCCGGGCGGGAGTCGAACCCGGGCCGTACGACTGTGGGGCGCGCCCGGTCGCCCGGTCTTGGCAGCGAGTGTCGCTAACGCTCTGGCCGCAGCCCCATCGCCACCACACAGACTCCGAGAGTCCTTTTCGTCGCTCCGTCTCTCTCCAGGGCGTGCCCTACAGGTGCGAGAGAGACAGAGCGACGAAAACGACTCTCGGAATCAGTCCGCAGGTCACCGGCAGCAGGGAAGGTTCGGCTGGCCCACTTGGATTGTCTCCACCTGACTGCCTGACGCAATGTCGCCA